AAAAAAAAAAAAAAAAAAAAAAGAAAAAGAAAAAAAAGATTACATAATCATATTTTGTTCAGCCTTGTATTGTACCTGATAAAAATAGAGGTCAGAACAAGATAAATTATGTTTGGTAAAAATATAATTTTTCTACTGGAGTGGGCACAATAGTGGCATGATGTACAATTAATCTTCGAATAAAGAACATGCTTCAAAATCTACCTCGTAGTGAAGAGAATTATTTTTGTAGACACTCATGTTATAAATATAAACAAAAGGAGCATTTATCTAAATTCTGTAATTCCTATGAATTCTGTTTGCAAACAAATCTTAATATTATAGTGATTTCTTCGCGTACATTTATCAAAATATTGTGAAAATGTTCTATTACTAAGCAATACAATGCGAATCAAGCACCCAAAGTTGTTTTATCATTGCTTCAGATTGCGGAATAGAGAATATTGCAAATTCTTTTATTTGTGTAAAAACAAAAAAAAAATGTAATACTTTTGGCATCTAGAAATTATTCTATAGGATATATTACTGATATAGAAGATCTTAATATTATATTCTTGTAAATATGATACTGCTTTTGCTTTTATTTCAAAATACTTCAAAATATAAGTGAATTGTTTCTTAACAATTGAAATGTAATTCTAAATATGTTTTACTTTTATTAAATGTACGTTTCAATCTTACACAAAGTATTGTAAATTTCACTAAATATATAAATATATTTTTATATCTTGTTTCATTTTTGTTAAACTTTATGTTTGCATGTTACATATTAAGATGTAAAACATGTATACTATCATTTATATTATGAAATATGTATACATTACAATTCTAAATGTGTAACAAATTTGTTAATAAATGTTGCATAACTTCTGAACAATATTATTTTTGTTACACTTAGTATAATTACTACTTAAATAAATAATATTGGATTACAATATTTAAAAATTGAATATAAATATTTAAAGCTAACTTTAAAATCAATCGATATAATATTTGAATATTTCAAAATTCCCGCCATTATCGTGACGCTTCATATTGGCATCCATATTGAATTTTCTATCAGTATAAATACGACTACTTTTATATCTTTAATTTTAGCTATTAATTACATTTTAAATAGAATTCTAATACTTCAATATCAATCTACTGTTTAGTATTGTAGATTAATCAAAAAATTTAATAATTTTAAAGCTTTTGTGTTCAGATTTATCATGCAAACTTTTCATTCTATTTTTTGCAATATTTTATCATATATCGTAATATTTAAGATATATTAGCTTTAGAAATATAATGATAAAATAATAACTCACAGTACAGCAGTTCCTGAATAGAAGTGAAGCATTCTTAGTCCATCGTAGATTTGCAGAAGTCAAGACCATATTACTCTCCATTTCACCAATGCAAACTTTTAAAAAAATCTTTGTTCATTTTCCACTTTTCAAATAGATAATACTTTACACAAATGTTCACTATTAAATACGTTATTTCAAAGCACTTTTTTTCATTTACAGTACACAGAATATCATTATCGAACATTATTACGACGCGAATAAACTGACGCTGCCTACGATTCAAACTGCTAGCCATTACTAAAGCGCCAAAAGAAACAGGTGCGCGCGCAACATTATATGCGCCGTTTCCACAAGAGTTCAGTACGCTGCTAACAGGTGGTCCATGTTGATTGGTCGAACAACGGGACTAGAGAAGGTTCGGTCGGACAGCACGTGCGACCGGTTGCACATTTCCGCGGAGGACGTGAACACGCGTGTATCGTTCCGTCTTTTGCCTATACGGAAGTCCACTTTACCGATTGAAGGTCAGGCTATCCGTATCTGGCAGCAAATTTGTCGCAAGTTTACACCGAGAGTTTGCTTTCACGAACGCGAAATCTTCCCTATTGGTGGTCCAATACGTTCATAGGTGCACGGGTGTTGGCTATCGATCCCGCTGTCCTGATTTCCTGCATGTTCATTGGCGCCTCGGTTGCTAACAGTGCGTCGTATGGTACAGTGCGGGCTCCGTTCGATCAGTGCTGTGGCTTTACTGTTACGCTCAAGATATTTGTGTAATTTTATTCGTTTTATCGGGGTGATTTTTCCTCGTATCAAGGACAATTCACGCTTCTTCGTTTCTTCTTCGGTAAGTACGGTTCGTGTATAATTTATTCTTTCCTAATGTGTTTTTTATCGCGATGCAAATATTACTTGCAATCAAGTGCACGTGCACGCGCGTGCATTGAACACAAGTCGGTCACATTGAGCCGGTGCTTCGTTCCATCTGGTGCATTTCGATTGCATCGAATGGGTATATTAACAAGTGAAGAGATGACCCTATTCGTGATTCGCGTAGAAATAATTCGCAATAACGCGCGTCCATATTGTTTTTTCATCAAATTTGTTTATACGTAACAGTATGTCAGTATGGACAACCACTTGTCGCGCCTATCCATCTGTAATCCTGTTTTCACTTAACTCTTCGATATTTATTTCTACAATTACGTTCTATTCACAATATTCCTTGAACAGAGTTATATAAATTGACTTTTATGGAAAATTTTAAAATTTATTTCTTGGACGATTATAATGGATGAAATACAGGACACATGTGGATATGCAGGCATTTAATATGGGTATGTGAAAAAGCGTTAATGATGATACCGGCTGTTTTATGTGGAAGTCGAATGCGGGTAGGAGAGGCGCGTTTTGTTTAATTTAAAAATGTTGGCATTAAAGGGCGGTTCATATGACCAGCATCGCGTTAGCATAGATAAATGCTAGTTGATACTTTTTTAAAATGTTATCTCAAATATTGCACATGTATTTGCATACAAAGAACATATCGAATCTCTCGTACACATTTCAATATATTTTACTACATTGTAAAACGAAACGTGACAGTTTCGTCATAACATATAAATTTTAACAATCGCGGGTATCAAACGAATCACGATTAAACGTTAATTAAGACGCTATAAAACCGTATGACTTGAAAGTTACACATATGTACATAACGTATGTACATATATATATTTGCTTAACTTTCTCTTCAAATTGTAATTTTAATCATAATTTGTAACTTTATAACAATTTTATCAATTTGTGGAAAGTTATTCGAAACAAATTTTTTATTTTGTAATATGAAAAATGAAGTAATTGTTATAGAATAGGTTATGTATAAAGCAATTTTAAAGATACAGGCATAGAGATACGCCTTTAAGTCAGGATGTTATAAAAAATTATTTGATATATTTATACTGTAATATTTTATTGTTTTTCTTATTAATTTCTTATTTTTATCTTATTATTATTTATTATTTATTATTGTTATTGTAATTATGTTTACAACTAACAATTAATTTCTAATAATTATTAACTTCTATTCAATTTATTAAAATAAGAAATGATAACATAATTTTTTATTTCATAAATAAAATTTAGTTACATTATGTACTTTATTGATCGCGTTTGATAGAGCATCAATTTCATATCGTTTACTTATTGCCCACTTGGATATAAACACTGTCTCAAGGATGAAAATTAATTTTCTGGGGGACAGATTTTTTGTAATCTAACAACTGACAAGATATCAAAAGTTTCCTGATAGACGCACTACCTAATTCATATCGCTTAGGCATTTTTGAAGAAAGTTTCTTCCTTTTCTGAGAATGAGATATTACACTGATAAAAATTGGTTTGATTTTTTTATGCAATGTTATATTTGTATAATGACGTAAATATAAAATTCTTCGAGAAAAAAGTAATATAAATCTGTTTGTAAAATGATAGTAAGTCGTTGAAGAATTAGGTAATAAATTATTTCATGTTTAAATTTTCTTAAAAATTGCCAAAAATGTTTTCGGTTAACAAAATTTAAAGATACGAATCTTAAAATTCATAAACATAAAATTCCAAATTATAAAATTATAGCAATGTTCTTAGAATTTTTTTATCGTTTTAATTAGGTATAAATTAAAAATTAGAAAAGATAACAAATATATACAAATTTTAAACTAGAAAAAGAATTATTAACAAAATTGAATCAAGTTAAATTTTCTATTTTTCTTTGTAATTATTTTAATTTAATTATGCAATATCTTATAGAAAAACTTAATATACATTAGTATCAAAAAGATTAATAACACGATTGAAAGATTTCTACAAGTTTAATCATATCAATTCGAAGAAAAACAAAGATTCTAATTTTAAAAACCACCATCTGTAAAAATAAAAATAAAAATTTAACATCATAATACACTTTGCTATTTCATGATATTCGAATGATAAATCGTTCTCTATCGTGTTTCGCACTCATGTTCTAGAAAAAAAATGTTATCTTGATCCTGCTATCGATCGAAGATACGTTCACAACATGCCTGTTTAATAAGTGATTTCTGTCCGAATTTTCTATTCATTTTCACAACAAAGAGCAACGAAGAATGGTTCTGATTTCTGATTATATCTGTAATCACGTGAAATTTTTTTTAGCTGAGGAATGAGAAAAATGATTACTTTTAATCCATTGGTCCAACAATTTGGTAAAATAACGAATGATCGAGGAAAATATTCTGCTTAAATGTCTATTATATAACGATAGAATATCTTTTTTTATATATATTCAACAACGTGTATTCAGAAAGAATAACAGACTTTGTTAATGTACCCGCAGCTGTTGATAATTGCCAGAATTGTGCAAATATTACGAGCAAATATTAGGCGTTAAGGGAAACATTTTTTATTTGGAAATTTCATTTTCTTCTTTTGAAATATTTTCTTTTTCGTAAAATTGTATTGCTCTCTTTTGAAATTATAAATAATTGTAGTAAATTTAATTATTTTTACTATTTTTTTAGGTTTTTCTTTTTCTTTTTTTTTTTTATGTCATTATAATTTCAATTTCATGATTTTGACACTCGATGACTGATTTAAATTATTGAAATATTGAAATAACACACAAAATCTCGCGATTGAATGGAATGAAAAGTGAAATACATTTTTTTTTTACGAAGAGTGGAGGATATCATTGAAGAATTATTTAAGATACAAGATTTAATTATACATGTTCAGTCATTTTTAATGAAGAATAATTAAACGAGAAAAGATGAAAGTTAGAATGAAATATGTAGTTTATAATTTTAATTGGTATCAAATTCTCAAAGCTGTAGTTTTAAGTAAACAAACTTAAATAATTTTCACAGAAAAATTTCAAATTAATTTTAAGTACAATATTAAAGGATTAGATATCTTGTGAATTAGTCTATTCATAAAATATAAATTACAGATATTAGAATGTGAATTCTAAGAAATTTCGTTCTCTCTAAAGTGATGATCGTAATTCGTTCCGTTCTCATGCTTCTTTTATTTGCAACAACGACGTACTTAACTTGATACTTAACCCTGTTAACGACTGCAATTACGAATTTGTAATGTAGGGCTATATCTGACCTTCCAGATTATCTCCAAACTATTTTAATAAAAAAAATTCATTCGAGCACGTCGAAAAAAACGGATCAAATATATTGCCATATTTTTAGATTTAATCTCTAAGTGGTTCTTAAATTAAATTTTGTCATTGCCAATTTTTTTTCTACCACTCTTTATGAGAAATAATTTTTTTCATTACAAATAAGAAACTTGCAAAAATAGAAATTATAAATTTTATGCAAATGTATCTCGATATTATTTCCAAACAATTTTCAGAATAATAAATAAAAAAGTATTCAAGATGTTTTCTTCTAAAATTTCTCAATTTATTATAATATAAATAATTATTATAAATAAGTGACTGTGAAGTATTCATATATAATTTAACCTGAAACGAAAATTAAAAATTAAAAATCGATTAAGACTTTTATAATGTGTCTTCTTTTAAAATTCTTCGTGCATAAAATTTCTTTTCCACGAATGAAATTCACCATTGTTCTTCGACCCAACGCGTCACAATTCATTTCGCAATGCGTTCGATTCTCCTTCCGTCAGAACGCTACACACGCTTAACTCATACAGGCAGACAGGTCCATTGATCTCGTTACAGCGTGCAACAAGCTGTAATACAGTCGTCGCGTCGTGTTGCAATGTTAGAACAACAGAACGTATTAAATGCCAAATCGTGCTTACAATACATTACGATTCGTATTCAAACGTCTACGTTCCACTATCCACACACAAACACCAATACAATTATCTATTCAATTCCTCTGACCGGTCTCTTAAAGTGTTACAAAATCTCTGAAATCTTACATCAAGGAATAAAAGATCCTAATCGTCATTAACCCAAATATAGTCGAAGAAAAGGAGGAATAAAATGGAGAGGGAAAAAAAAAAAAAAAAATAAAATAAATAAAATTCGAACGATCATTCGAAACTTATGTTACGTTTTCTACATTTAATTGGAATCGAGAACGTGATCGATCATGTGGAAGACAAATAGACGTCAGTTATGGAAAAAAATTGTATAAATCGATAATTAATTATACGAATATTTTTCTAAGATATAATGGTAATTCGATTATTAGATTTTTGATGATTAAAATATAATTTATGGCAATGTAAATAATTATAGATATATAAGAGATTAACCTTAGAAGATAATTTTAATTTTCTTATTGTACACAGGATATCTTTGGAAGCTTGATTCTAGAGGACAAAAAAAATATCGATCAAGGATTATTTATTAAGTTATAAATAATTTGGAGAAATAAAGTGAGATAATGAAACGATCTTTCTCCATTATCCAATATTAAATTTCTTATAACTCAATAAACAAACCAATCGATCTCCCCTACTAGAATTAATCTTCCAAAAATCCTATGAATACATCGAATCTGAAATATCATAAAGTTCGTATATTTTTATGAAAGATCTTTAACTTTATTTAAGAAGCTACACGAACTTTCAAATATCGCAAATATATCTCGATGTATCGAGAAATATCCTAAACAAAAATAAACGAAGAACACGTCTCTTGCCTCTACATTAAACTAAATTTTAAAAGTAAACAAATACCTAACGATACAACGCAATATCCTGTGTTCTTTCGATTAATATTTATTCTTATTGTACGTTTGCCTTCAGAAAGTGTCGGTATCCTTGGAAGACAATGGAGTCCTAGAAGAGAAATCGTGTTCCCGTTCTTCCTATACTCTTCATCCTCGATGGGCAGACTATACGGCGATCCATTGACTGGCAAAGGAACGGAACCAGGAACGATCGAGCAAGCTTAGGACCATGGAATTCTACGACGTGGGAAGCAGCGACCTTAGAGAATTGTGGGAGTCTTATCTCTCCGAACCGGTG